TTTTTTTTTTTTTGAGAAATATAATTTTATTGATATATATGAATATTGTAAAAGTTACAAACTAATTTGAATGGAATAATATAGGTGAACATATAATACTAAGTAATTTAATACTTATATGAATATCAAAATTAAACCTAATTGTAGCACTTTAGTATAATCCATATAAACAGATGATAAATTAATTAAGATAAAAAATTTAGCTACAGACATTTTCCCCAATGATACCTTGAATAGCCTAAGTGAAAAACGAACCAAAATTGCGTTCAAGTTGGCATCCTCCTCCTACAAAGAGCACATTCTGGTAAAAAGGCAGAGACCTTAAGATAAAAGGGAGAAACTTCCACGAGAGATGAAAAATCTCATAAGAAAAAAGAGAATTCTAACATTTAACCATCCACTTTCATTTGGATAAATAATTAAATTAAAAAAAAAAAAGTAAAGTCTAAAGAGTTTTTCCCCTTCTCTTCCCCTCTAATTTTTTAATAACCAATTAAAAAAATTTTTTTCTCTCTTTTTTCTTTTTTTTTTTTTCATTCCTTTCAATCCAAATATATTGTAAAAGTTGTTAATAGGTATACTAATTGAGTATCAATTGTTGAATGCAAGTTATATTTGAGTGAAAGCAAAATTTAAAAATGTACTTCCTTCGTTAATTTTTAATAGTTTTATTTTAATTTTTAAATTATTGAAACATCTTTACTAAATCTTTATGTTCATTTATTAACAATAATTTAGTAATTTGAATATATAAACTATATTTTTAATATGCAATTCAAACTAAAAAAATAAAACGAAAATGAAAAATTAGAACATTCTGACATTAAAAGTATCAAAATGTATAATCATAGTTATTAAATATGTGAAATACAGTATGAGTTCTAATGTTATCAAATTGATCAAGGCATTAATTTTCTCTTTTCTATATGTAAAAATACTTGGTAAAAATACCAAATTAGCTAACAAAAATGTTATTTTATTAGGATACTGTGATATTTTATGTATTTATTAATTTAATACATAGAAAGCAAGCTATAAGAGACAGAGTTTTTTTTTCTTTTTTTCTTTTTTTTTTTTATGGTTACAATCACAATATATTGAGATCAACCTTTTAGTGCATTTTGACAGTAATATTTTCAAGGTTAAACCCTAATTTAGTCTCTTAATTATTATACAGACTCTTGAATTGGTTCCTAAACTTAAAAAAAATTTTGATTTGATCTTTAAAATTTTCAAATTTAGCTCTAAGATGGTTCTTTCATTAAAAACAATTGACGTATTTGTTACTTAATTGTAGAAGGCGGTTACTTAAAAGCCACGTGTTACATCAATAATAGAATATATTAATTATTTTTAAACGGAGGGACTAATTTGGAGCTGAATTTAGAAATTTTAGAGACTAAATCATGAAGTATTTTAATTCAGGGACCAACTCAGGAGTCTGTACAACAATTGAGGGGCCAAATTTAGAGATTTAACCTATTTCCGAAGATCCTGCACCCTACATGTGAAGCTGGTACATTTAAGAAAATCAATTTTCTGCTCAAGACTCGACGCTGGACCTACTTACAATACCACACTTGCAATTGAATTCAACTTGCAAACTACAAGAGAGTTAGGCTTCATTTGAGATTGCTGGGGACTTCTTAATGGAATACATGTTTGAGTTGTACAAGCTGCCTTTCCGTCTGCATTTCCTGCATAAACAGGGGACGAGTGCAATTTCCCCTGTATAAACGAAACCTCTGTTTTAGTTTGTCTCTGCATTTCTTGCATCTCCCCCGTTCCGATGATGATGTCTTAAATTCTGATCTCTACGATCCCAAAATGTCAAACCCAACTCTGAGATACCAAAAGCTGGCCATCAACGAGGCATTACCAAGAATATTTCGATACCCAATTGCATGTAAAGAGCTCAGCTTCATCCTCAGAGGCGCCTACGGCAAGGTCCCCAAGAATCTTCAATCTCTCATATTTGAAGATACCCTCACCGCCTTCCGTCTCCTTCCTCAGTAAGCTGCTTCTTTGTCTTGTAATTTTCAGAAATTTCATACCCACTTCGTGGTTTTGATTAATTTTGAACCCTTTAACAATTCATTGGATCGAATTGGTATCTTCTAATCTATTATGCTTCCAATCCGAGCTGATTTTGGGTTTGAAACCTAATTTTGCTTTCTTTATTGAGGAAACCCCACAAATTAGGGCTCATAGTTGTGGTCTGAATTTTGCAATGTTTAATTTTCTTATAATTTCCTCTCTCTTTTGGATTAGAATCATTTTGAATTGGAAGCTCCAATTGTTGAAATTCATGTTGAAATTGCATTAGATATGGATAATCAAGTTCTAGCGTTTGGATTAGGTAAATTGAGAATCAAAATCGACTTTTGTGTGAGGTTTAAACTTGTTTAATTTTATTGATGATTTGTTTGAATATGAAACATCGATGCAAAGAACTTGTTTTATATAGCATTTACAAAAATTTTGTTCCTTTACAATTTAGCTAAGGGGAACTATTAGGAAAAGGCTAAGTATTGAGATCAAGATTCAAGAGCATTAACTATTAGATCATTAGATGTATAAAAAAGGTATAAAAATGTGTTGTACCTTCATGCTGATAAAAAAAATGTTGGACCTTCATCTATCACCTTAAGAGTTTTGGTTTGGTGGTTTTTGATTTTCAATTATGCATTCATTTTATTTACTCTTTGCATAAACCTTTGGAAAATTACCTTGACAGCAGCATTTGTGCTCTAGATTAAAAATGAAAAAAAAAAAATAAAAATTGAATAATGATGGGAATGTGATTGTCATTTTCATAAGTTAAATTACTCCCTTTTGTTCAAGAATAAGTTGATGTTAATTCTGAGATGAATTTGTGTGTTGTATTCTTCTTGACTGTATTTAAGAACTACCATTTGAAGGTTTAATTCTACCTCTACGAGAGGAGATAAGTGTTAGACCAGACCTCCAATATACGTCATTGATTAAACAGAAATTTTAGCTTTAGGTGATGCTTTCCGCATCTTACACCGTCAGACACATAAAGGCACAACACAAGTTTAATCCATTATATATCTCTTGTAGTTATGAATCTTATTTTGAATTAGAATGCAGACTGGCAGTGCTGTTGCAGCAGCCCATCTCCTATTTCAGAGTGCAGAAGCTGCTTTGCCAAAGCAGAAGAAAAACTTGGCTATTACAGAATTTAAGCAAGCAAAGATTACTCATAAGAGACTCTCTAAAGCCCACCAAGAAGAAAAAGGTGCATTTTGAAATGTTGCCTCCTTTTATGGTTGAAGAGCATAATGGCTTTAATGGCAAGCTCACAAACATAATGATATAATCAGTAATTATTAAATCTCTGTTTTCATTCCTCTCATTCTTTTTATCTTCTCTCTACATCCAGAGCCTTCCCTACTGCCACAAGACGTTCTTTTGCACATCTTCAGTTTCCTGGATTTGCAATCTTTAGTTTCTGCTGGGCAAGTCTGTTGGTAATCTTTCTTTTCCTATTGTTGGCTGTCCTGCTTGACTACTATCTTCTGTATTTAGTATTGACCATATCTCAATTACAATATATGGCACTTAGCATCCTTTATCTTAAAAGTTTTATTTGTTAGTTGAGTGACTTTTGGGTTGCAATGTGAAGGTCATGGAATTTTGCTGCCAACGATAACCAGCTGTGGCAGATGCAGTATACCATCTTATTTGGTGGTTGTGATGGTTGTTCTAGTTCTACTACCAAAATGCGGCTTGGTGGTAAACCAGTGAAAGAATACACGCATCCACCTAATAACATGATCACACAAACTATTAACGACTGGAGAGAGGCCTTTAAAAGAGCGTATAAAGGTATGCTGATTTTTGAGTTTAATTTGGCTTTTCTTTTCTCTATTCATTTTGGTAAGCAATGATGTGGGATACAATTTCTTAGCATCTAATGATGGCATCCCAAAACCTCTCCCTTGTTCTCTAGCATGTGCTTCTGTGCGTATGCATATTATGTTCTTGCTTTTAGTTTTTTGAAATTTCAGTTGTAACTCATCTTTCCTTCTAACCATTATCACATTATCTTGTATTGCAGGTAATTCATCAAAAAAATTAACATCTAATAGGGGATATTGTGGACACTGCAAAACAATAGTTTGGCTCAATAACTTGAGATGCCTTAATAGACACTGCAGACAAAAATATCAAGACCAGCAAATCAAGCCTGTCTCACCTCACCAGGTATATTCTCCTTTTATTTTCAGTTATTCTTTTTTCTTTTTTTTTTTCATTTTTCATTTTTTTTTAACTCAATAATTTTCTAGTTTAGTTGTTTCTTGTTTCCTTCTTTAGACTTTGAATAATTTGGTGTAGAATTAAACACCATTGGAAACATTGTTAAAACTCCCCAAGTTGTGTCATCTGTGAACTATTTCTTTGATAATAATTGTTGGCTGCTTAAAGTATGGGAGACTTTGATTAAGTTAATGCCATGAACCACTATTTCTCAGAAGCATGCTGCAGAACGTGTTCTAATTCTGTTGATTGGTTACCCTGGATGTCTCAGAAATGTTCCTTCTGTTTCAGGTTGTTGAGTATCTATTGGATGATATGTCATCGGTATCTTCTTCAGATAGCGATAGTGAATCAGATGAACATTCCATTCTGGGATTGTGGGCTTATCCAAGAAACATGAGTAGATGCAAGAAGTAGCCCCTTGTCTAGACTTCTTGTGGAGTTTACCTACGATGAACTTTCAGTGAGCATTTGTTCTGAGAAACTTAGAAGACCGGCCTTAGAGCTTGATCTTTTGACTATACTTCACAGCTTCAATGTTTGTACAAGACGCTAGGTCTGCAAGTATCTTCTTCTTCTTCT